TATACACTGATGGCTTCAGTAAATTTTACTTTCTCGACCTCTAAGCCTTTTGCTGAGGTGAAGAGGGCAGGGGAGCAGAGTTAAGAGTTTCTAGGGAAGAAATGTACTTAAATTTGTCTCTAATTTCAGGAGAATAGAAATCTATCTATGGACACTCTATAGAGGTTAGGTAAAAAATCTCACTTTGGGTTCTAAGACTGTCTTTTTAGACTAAGATGTAAATATAGACATTTAAGTTTGGAGAGTTTTTTTAACATTTGAGTGTTTTTTAAAGAAATATTATTTAATATCTTTAGTCTCAAAGTCATATTCTGAAATCACAAATATTGAAAGATGAAAAAAAGGTCGTTCTGTGGGTTTTGGTTGTTTGGGTATTTTTTTAAAATAGAGGGGTAGACAGTTAAAATTCTCCATTGCTGCTTAAAATATACTAGGTAGGAAAGGACTTGCCCCTCTTCCTTGGGAAGCGTTCCCTCTGATCCGTAAAGGCATTTGTGACCACCTGTAGGGGTGATGATTTTCATGAAGAGATTCAATCCCTTTATTCTGTGGGTGCAATCCCAGTGAACTCGAACAGTGGCAGAATGGTGGATTTATGCTGTTAACACAGCACAGCCTAGAGGCCTGGCAGAAATCTTTACAAAGTATTATTAATATAGCCGCCCTTCAGGAGTGTCTAAACTTAGGTGATTGTTTTGAAGGATGATTATCATTACATGCAGTAATGGAGACGTTATAAAAGAGGAGTATGAACTCTTGGGCATAGTTTTGAAAATCATCCCACATAAAAAAACAAAACCCTTAAGTTTTAATTATGTTTTCTTTACTATGCACTAAATAATGTTCTGGCAATCTTATTGTGTCTCTTTCAACTTGTGGACTGTGTGTAAGAATATATGCATTTCTTTTGTAGCCACGTCATGAATATTTTAATGTCCCTGTATACTAACTGACTACTTATCGAATATGCAGAATTTCACAGAGGAATGTACTTAAGAAAGAAAATATCCTCAGCTTGGTGACGCTGGCTTTCTTGGTTATCTTGTTATAATAGTTATAGAATATTTTAGAGCCAATACCTTTACAATTGTATTTTTTCCTCTCTTCTTCTCCTTAGCCCTTTTCACTCTACATAAGATTTTAGTTAGCTTATGCCTGCTCCAACTGATTTAATTTCTTCTCTTAAAAAAAAAGACCTATGAATGTTTTGAGTATTGTTTCATCTTAAAAAAAAGATAGATAGATAGATAGATATATGTTATTAATGAACCATCTGATTAATCTCCTGAGAGGAATATGTTTATCAAAGAAAATAAAGCTGGGACACTAGGTCAAAATAAGCAGTGCAGTAATATGTAGTGTGGTTTGGTCTCCAAGTGGTGACATATCTTCAATAAAATGAAAGCTGTATTTAATGTCAGTCACATCACATCCTGTGTAAACCCACGTGTCCTATGTGGAGCTACGACATCAGGGTAAAAGCCATCAGTAGCAGTACATAAAATTGAAAACACTCCATGCTTTCACCATTTTGTGATGCCACAGTTAGTGAGACACATATGTACGGTGTAATAATACCCAACAGTCCCTTAAAGAACTATCACAACGTTAGAGCAGAAGAAAACCCCCTCCCCAGTTATGTTAGTAATCTTCCCAAATATTAGTATTTCTTTTTAATAGCTTAATGTTTCACTACTTAGTTACATACCTATATATTGCCAGTCATAATTTAATATACTTAACATCTTCATTGCAGTACTATGGATCCAATAGATAAGTCACTATAACCTAGAAATTCAAACTAGCTTCCCACCAAAGGCAGGCATATGAAAATATATTTTGAACAAATGTAATAATAGGCAGGAAAACACCTCTTTCCATCCCTCCCTCCCTCCCTCCCACCCATTCTTGCTGTCATGCACCGCATTTGAAGGCTCTGGGAGATTAGAACTGGAGGATTGTGCAGGTGACCATTTTTTCTCTTCACCTCCCCTGCCAGGCAGTACACTTCATACGATTTTTTAATACTGCATAAATATTCATTGTCTCATGCCTGTTTGCTTTGGATGCTATGTGCTGAGCTTGTTAACATGTTGCTTCTTGTGATCTGTATACTGCTGCTTGCTTTCAATTAATAGACTCTGAAAAGGCTTTCCTGGCATGTTTAAAATAAAAGTATTGCATGTACGTTATCTCATGTGAATGTCTTTTTTTTTTCCTTCTCCATCCCTTCTGATAAAATAACGGATTTCATATTTGGGTTTTTCCAGGTAATTTTAAGCTAGACTTTGAGCATGAACATGGGGAAATTCCATTTTACATTAATCATAAACAAGATTTGTAATAAACTTAAATACAGTATTTCCATACTTCTCAAAGGAATAAAATGTGTAAATGATTCTCAAAAGTAGGCCTTTTCTTTAAAAGAATGCATATTTGATAGTAACATAATCTCCACAAATGTTGTAAACAGTTGCAGTCACTGAACACTAGGGGGAACCCAACCAGATCCTGGGAGGAAATAGTTCGGGCCATGTTGAGCTAGCTAGGCTGAGCCTGTTAACCCTGGCTGGCTACCCAGTAAACACGGCCTGGTTTGTGCTTTTATTTACAAATCCTACTGAAAATTTCCCCTGCGTTGGCTTCAGAGTCGAAACAAGCACACGGTGTTATAACCCTGCCAGGGATTGTAAAGAAAGAGGCTTTCATTTTTGTAGGAAGGTGCTGTGAGGTTTGGAGACCGACGCCAGCCAGAACTAGAGGCAGACTCTTGGCTGTGCTAACTGAAAGGGTAAAAGCCTTCTCTAGACTGAGTAAACACAGGTGAGTCCATGCTTACCTGGCTCGTGGGCTTCACTGTGCACCGTTTAGTGGAGCTGTCCATCCCTCGGGTGGCACAGTCCACAGAGAATTGTGCTGCTAACCTAGAGGCCCCTCTCTTCTCTAGCAGCCATGCCACCGGATACAGAAGGGCAGTGTCCAAGGGCAGTTAACAGCCGTGGCAAATCCAGCGGACAGCCAGCCCTGAGTCGGTTCTAACTCCAGTGCTAGGAGTTACATTGCTGACTTCGAGGCTGCGCAGTAGTAGAAGTAATACATATACTGAACATGAAATGGTAGGAATTCTTTTCAAAATGATGTTGTGGACCATCAAGTTGGATCCGGCTCAAAGCTGACCCTCCAGCGGGTTTTCAGAGGCAGTAAATCACATGGGAGGAGGCTGCCCGTCTTTATCCCACGGAGCAGCTGGTGGACTGGAGCCACGTGCCTTTGGAACTGCAGCACAGCTTCTTACCATTAGGCTATCAGAGCTCCCTACTTTTAAAATAGTTTCCTTTCATATTCTTGTGACTCTCAAAATGACATTCTCTCAGTATTTTAAGAGTTTTATGCCATCAGAATTCCCTAGAGTTTTAAAGGCTAATCGTTTAGGCATGAGAAAAGGGCTGTCTTTAAAATTTTTCTTATGACAACTCTGACACATCAGCGTAGAGAAAGGCATAAGGAACCCTACGTGCCTGTCCCGCAGCTGCAACAACCCTCAGTCAATTCCTGTGCTTGCTTTTTCACCAGCCTCAGCGTCAGTGTCTGCCCTGCACAGCTTACCGTGTCCCCAGAACTTCAGTATGTGTCCATAACACATGATGTACCATGCTTGGCAAGATGTCACAGGAAGAAGTTCCTCGTAGCTCATTCGTGGTTCACATTCCCCCCATTGTCTCTCTGACTGGGTTAGACTCAGTTCCTCTAGCAAGGCTCCCATTACATCTGTTGCATGTGTCCTCTTTTTAGTCTCTCTTCATCTGTTTAAATTCCTCACCTTCCCCCTCAACGTTCCCTTTGCCACTTTTAAAAACAAGATCATTTGTGTTATAAGACTTAAGGCTGGTTTTGTTTTGTTTTGGTCAAGAAAACTTCAGATCCATTGAACTGTATTTATAATAAAAAAGTAGGAACACACACTTTTTTTCACAGACCTTTTTCACCACACAAGCATGCTCAGATGTCACGAACTTTAGAGTTGGTTTAGAGTCCTAATTACCTTCCATTAGCGCTCAATTATGTTACTCTAACAGCTGCTTTACTCATTTCAACTCATGAAGGTAAGTACTATTGTCCTTGTTTTGGCAAATAAGGAAACGGACTATAAATTATTAAGCTACCTTGTGTAGTATCTCACATAACAAAACTAACATCCCAAGGATTTATGGTTTAATAAAATTTTTCTTTTCCTTGCTTTGTGCTGCACCACGATTAGGATGCAAAAGTAAGTTCATTATACTTACTATAATTGATACTATAAATTGTTAACTATTTCTCTCTTGAAATTTAGCATGCCTTTTACTTACAAAATTGTTGAGAGTAATAGCCCAACTAAGATCACCTTGGTCCTTTTTTCCCCCCCAAAGTCAGCCAGCTTCCTGTGAAATCTGAAAGCAAATCCTAGTAGTTTCTAGGGATAGCGGTTTCTCCCACAGTATGTATGCCCCCACCTGCTTATTGGTCACTCAGCCATTTCCGGAACCATGGGGCTCTAGGCAGTTATTTTATCTCAGACTGAGTAGTTAATGGCATTGCTAGAAATGTATGCAACAGAAGGACCATGGAAAAAACTCGGACCAATTTCTCCCCCTGTCTTTGGAGGACAGTTTGAATTTTAACACTTAGGGTATCATTCTTGTATACATACAAGTCATTAACAGTGATTTCCTAAACCACCAGTCTATTTGCATGAGGCTTGATTGATTTTTGTGTTACAGCAACTGTACTATGCAAGCAGGTGCTTGTGCTAAATGAATGCTGGAAGGAGCCGCCTGTAGTCTCAGGTATTCTGATCTAAAGCTCTAACCATCACTGGGGCTGGCACTGATCGGATGCTCCTGCCATACAGAATGAGAAACACTTTGCCTTGGCTTGTGTTCTTTTCTAAAATGAGCATTTTTCACATGCTCTGGGCTCCTTGGACCTGCTTACCAGAGTGTCACATTTTCCTTCCACAGGAAGCTGAAACCCCACGTAGTGTTCTTGAAGAAATTGGACTGACATAACTCTCCTCCCTTGTTGATGACTTCTTGTGGCATTTCACACACTGTAGACGCTCACTGCCTTTCATGTCCATGTTAGCTAATGGTGTAAGATGTTTCGTCAGTATTACTGTTTTGCTAAGCTGCTTCGTTCAGGCCTACACAAAAGTATTTTTTTTAAAGGGAACTTTCGTTAATCAAGTGGTAAATTAAGGGACTTAAATATGAGAGACAATGATCCAGAAAAAATTATGCTTTTCTAGATCTTGCAAAGTTTGTTAGCTCCTCTTACGACGATTACGTGTATATATATAAATGACACCTATGTGAGACATGCAGAATCAAAGAATTAGGTAATAGCATAGAGTACACTTACTGTATTTGACAAAGGAAACTGGCAAATTACAATGTGAAACCTGGTTTTTTAAAGCCAAAGACTAGTGCAGCTTCAGTATCATGAGAAGAAAGGGAATTGGCATTATCACATGGCAAACGAATGAAAACTGAACTCTTATTTTGAAACATTTAAACAAATTCATACCAAAGATCCCTATTAGAGGCTACATACTTTAAAACAGAAAGGGAATAAAGATAATTTTGAATGACTTCTTTGGGATGATGTTGTTTTACACTGAAAATTCCTTCTTAGACATTCTTACCCTGGGACAAAAAAAACATAGCTGGCTGTTTTCAGAAGAGCGAGCACTTTTAAGGCACATTGGACCGCTGGGATGAATTCTTTGGCCATAATCATGTAGTCAGTTTATTAGGTTGTTTTGACATCCCCAAATAAAGTGGAAATGTTGATGAGGAGTTCTTCAGAACAAAATTTTAACAGAAAATGTGTCGCTTTTTTTCATAGTACTGCATAAAGCCATTGTTTAAAGCACGGATATTCCTTCTGGTGTGCTTGGCCAAGCCAGATTGATTTCGCTTCCCCTTTGTTTTTCCATACTTAGAAGTGCTGCAGACTTTACGCTGTCTTTCTCCTCCTTGGCACTGCCTCCTTTTCAGAAGTCTCACAGACAGCTAGCTTTTGGTAAAAAGGGAGAGTTGAATGAAGTCAAGTGGCATTAGCAGGCCTTGTATTTTTTAAAGCTATGTAATTGTGTCCACTTTTATACATACATAAGCGTATTTAGACTTGTCCCCACCGTTTACACTTTCACTTGTATATGCCGGGCTGGATTTAGCTTATTGTAATTGTGACCAGTATTCAGGCCATGTGATCACTGGCCTATCATATCACCGGTTAGTTGTAATAAATGTTCAGTGTGCACCACTGTAGTGTGTTTTCACCATCTCTTCCCAAAAGTAATCAACAACTTTTGGAGAGCTGCTGAAGGAAGAATTTTCTTTTTTCCCCCCAGTAAAATGTTGAGAATACACCTCCATGTGAAGGTGGAGGTTGTTATAAGCACACACAGGATAAAAGGCAGAAGAGTTAAAGGTTCTTAATGTACTTCAAGTTCATTTACACACAAAAAATGTGGATTCCATGTTACCAAGAGCTTATTGACATATTTATTTTCAATCAATAAATGCCGCTTTGAAAACCTTGATGCAGTTGATTTTTTCCCCCCTTTCCCCCACTATTTATGAACAAACAACTCTGAATATTCCACAGAGAACTCAGGGTTTTCTACCCTCGCTGGGGCACTGCTGCTCCAGATAGGACCAGGAGTCAAAACTCAAGTGTTCTTACCGACAAACTTCCAAAGACAGAGACTGACATACTAAAACTGCATTTCAGCAACTTCGAGAGCCGAGCAGCTGGTAGATTAACACTCTGGATTTGGATACCTACCCGTTAGGCCACCAAATCATAAATAATGATTCTTAGAATCACAAAATTCTTAGCAGGATTGCTTCAACACAAGGCGTATTCAGTAAGCAATGTCCCCAACTTCCTGAAAATGCCTAAAATCTAAAGGATTTCACCCATGGTTATGTGGTTGATTCCAGCTCCTCGAGGCTATTGCAGGACAGTAAACTAAGCGCCCAGTCAGGTTTCCAGGGCTGGGAACATGGAAGCATCCTGACACACTGTTTTCCCATGAAGAGGATGGTAGGTCTGAAAGGCTGACCTTTGGGTTAGCAACCAAGCACTTTAACCACACCGCCACCTATGAAGTACAAGAGAGAGACATTTCCAGCTAAAAGGAACTGAGGGTCAGGTAGGCAGGAGGAACGAGGTACACACCCTTTAATGCTAAAGGCAGAATGTGAATTTTCAAGTACAACTCTTCTAAGCTCTGTGTGAAGAACACAAACATGTATTTTTTTAAATTATTTTTTTGTGTGTGGACTGTCAAATCAGATCTGACTGGTACAAGAGGAGATTGCCCCTCCTCCAGCAGAGCATCTGGTGGATTTGAACCGCAAAGCTCTGGGATTGCAGTGCAGCATCTTGCCACTAGAGCTCCCTACAAACATCTGTTTTTAATAAAGCACAAACAGATTCATATAACCACTGGCCATTTGTTGGAAAATATGACCGGAGCTCAGACAGACACTTAAAACAATACTTGCATGTTGGGTTATGGGAGCAGCAAGGATTACTTTCTGGAGGAGGATTTAGAGATATTTGCATATGCAAATATCGACTTAACTCCTAAGGAAATGATCTTAAACATGTGAGAGTATTGAAGGAAATCTAGGACAGGATTTTTTTTTTAACCCCTTTATTTTCAGTCAAGGCTTAGGAGTACAAAATTATTTAAAAATCCAACACTAGGAATATGGTTAGTGATTATGCAGTAAAAATAATGGGCAGTGAGTAAAAAAATCACGTAATAGCGATTGCCTGAGCTAGGGCAATGTCTCCAGTGAAGGGAGGTGGCAGTATGCAAGCGGTGCTTGCAACGGTGTAAATGATAAATGCACCCAGACTAGAGCAAGGCACCAAAGCTACCTGACTGTCTCTAAAGGCCAGGATTATATTTCCCAGTGCTTTTGCTTTCTATACTAAACACAATTTTTGATTATCAGAAAAAAAGGTCAGCCTTTAAAAAGTAGGATTCCAAGCCTGAGTGTGCGATATACAATCTTTAGGTGCCTCACCTAACCAATATGGATGGATTTACCCAAGAGGGCATCTGTCACAGCCTCCAGTTCATCCTAAGAATTCCAATGTTTACTTCTTCAATAAATGTTATGGTATTTTTTTTAAAAAAAAAAGACCCCAGCGTGCACTAGGTTCTGCCAGACTTGCTAACCCACTTGCACAGCCTCCTGTCCAGAAAATGCATGTACCAGCCACAAGGAAAAGATACACGTTCATATGGAAAGAAAACAGGTTTATTTGGCTTTGGGACTGTGGCCAGTCTTGTCTCTACTCGCAGACCTCCTCCTGCCGCGGCTCCTAGACCTGGAGGCCCGCGCTCTGCGCCCGCGGCTCTGGCTCCGGCTCCGGCTGCGGCTGCGGCTGCGGGGGCGGCGGCTCCGGCTGCGGGGACTCCGGGCCCGACTGCGGTCCCTTTTCCGCCCTCTGCTCCGGGACCTCCGCCGTTCACGACTCCGGCTCACATGCTTGTGGGACTTGTCACGGTGGCTGCTCCTGCGCTTCCGGCAGGGTTCACCGTTCCTTTTGGAGGAGTGGTCCGAGCCAGGGCTGCGCCTCCTCCTTGACCTGCCGTGGTGCCTCTCCCTCCTGTCTGCATTCTTCCCGAAGGACGAGCTAGTCCGATCTGGTGACAGGTACATGTCCCTGTCGGCTTCCCAAAACTCATTGTTGGGGTTTCTGAACACGTGAAGAAAGTTGCAGTGTTTTCCTCTCGGACACTGCTGGCTTTCAAACAAACCTGAAATGCAAGTTAGTTAGGAAACAGCAGTTACAAAGCGTGTATTCGGGAGATGGGGCTTGATCCATTTTGTTGTTGCTGTGTGCCGTCGAGTCCTTTAGAACATCCCGTGACCCGGGTGGGTTCCGGTTCCGAGTACCACTGACCAGAGGGTGGACAGCCAGCCTTCCTGGGCTGTCACCTTGCCACTGATTCGCAGCTGGGATCTCTAACCAGCAGAGACAGGTGGTCCTAGGGGGCTGACTCCAGGCCAACAAGGCCTCCTGTGGGCGGAGGAGACACTTTCCATGCACAAAAAACAATAAACACTGCGCTAATGCTTCAGCTTTGGCAGGTGCTTTTATTAGGGAACATTCTTGTCAAAGGTGGAATCTCTTTCAATAACTGAGACCTTTGGCATGTGCAAACTTTTTTGTTAAATACAAAACTTAGATTGCAATGAAAAAGTGACCCTGCAGTGGGTTTTCAGAGGCAGTTGTCTGGGAGGAGACTGCCCATCCTTTTCCCATGGAGCAACTGGTGGAATTTGAACTACATGCCTTTGGGATTGCAGCACAGCTTCTTGCCACCACCAGGAGAACACACAGGTCTGTCTTGAAGAGGGTGAAACCAGACTTCTCCTTGGAGGCTAGGATTTTGAAGTTCCATCTCACATAGTTGGGCATATGGCCAGGAGGGACCAATCCTTGGAGAAGGACACCATGCTTGGAAGGGTAGAGGGACAGTGCAGGAGAGGAAGACCCCAGATGAGAATGATACAGTATCTGGGGCAATGGGGGTAAGTGTGCTGGAGTTAGTGAGACTGGCTCAGGACAGGGCAGGCTTCAGAGCTGCTGTACACAGAGTCACTATGAGTCACAGGTGACTCGATGGCACATAACAACAACAAAAAAGGAAAAGCATAGGCCAAAAGGGAAAAAACACTGAATTTCATTAAATTTTAAAATGTGTGCTTCGAAGGACAATGTCATGAAAATGAAAAGGAACATACAGAATGGGAGAAAACATTTGTAAACCCTACACTTGTGAGAAAAGATTGCAAATGCCAACAGACATAGGAAGAGATGCTCTCAGCCTCACTGGACAGTGGGGAATTGTGAGTCTCATTCACAGAGAGACCAATTCTGCCTCTAATTCACCAGGAAGGCTAAAATAAAAGCACGTAATAACAAGTACTATGAGCGTGTGGCCAGACTGGCACCCAGAGCTAGTGCTGGAAAGACGTAAAGCAGAGTTACCGTAAGATCTAGCAGTTCCAGCCTGAGATGCATACCCAAGAAAATGGAAAACATTTGTTCACACAAAAACCTGTACACGGATGTTCATAGGAGCATTATTCTTAACAGCCAAATCATGCCCATCGCCTAACAAGCAGTATATGTGGGTCCCTGGGGAGCGCGAACAGTTTCTACTTGACTGCTAACTGAAACGTCTGTAGTAGAAGCCCACTCAGTGTTGCCACTGAAGGGTGCCTGATGATCTGTCAGGATTCTGGCCATGGCTACTCTCTGGAGACGTGCCACTCCATAACGGGGGCTTGCCCACAGTTGGAATCCCCAACAACTGGATCACCTTTTCTAGAAGAGCTGTAAAGGCCAGGGATACTAGTGTGTGCTACCATACTGATGAACCCTGCCAACATGCTGAGTGAAAGCAGACCCAGGAGGTCATGTATCAGAGGCTTACATAACTGGGACACCTCCAGATAATCCAGTCAGAAAGCAGACTGGTGGTCGCCAGAGCCTGAGGGCAGGGCAGTGTTCTACACTTAGGCAGGAGCGATGGCTGCACAGTGCCATCCACTTCCTAAACCACATGCCTCTGGAAATGCTATAAACTTGGAGAAATGATGATGGTTATAGAAAGACTTCAGGCTTTTTGTTCATAGGGTCGCTATGAGTCGCACTCGACTTGATGGCAATCAACAACTACAACAACAAATACTTCAAAAAGGAGAATTCAAAAAAAAAAAAAGAGAAAAAGGGGTAGGGAAATTCCATGCTAAGTCAATTCTATCATAACAAAGCAGTATTTAAATTATTTTAATGTAAACTGTCCTCCTGCACGGTGGGTGTGAAGTCACACTCAGGCAGTGCTCCAATACAACAGTGGACCCCCAGGGACCTGTGAGAGGACAAAATTCCACAATTCCACCTCTCTCACCCTCCCCTCCCTTTCTGTAATGGCCTTTCTGGTTTTTTCAGTCAAGAAATTCCAAATTCTTTGTTTTTCTTCCTTAAACAAATGGGTTTCAAAGCAGCAGCCTCCATTAAGGCAAGGCTGGCAAATCCTTTGCGTGACAGGACTTTGCCAGTGAAATATTTTTAATAAGAGGTTTTTAAGTGAGTACAAAATAATGAGGCGAAGAAACTGCTAAGCACTCCTGGTGGCGCAGTGGTACGAATCCCGAGGCCAACCTGAAGGCAGGTGCTCTGAGCGCACCAGTGGCTCTGTGGGAAGGACACGGGCGGAAATCCCCTCCTGCGTGATTTTTGAGCCTCTGAAAGCCCACTGGAGGGTCAGCTCTGAGTCGGTTCTGACTTGACAGCAGGTTGCATCTTAACAGTTCGACTATGCCTTCCTTTATGGCAGAAACCAAATCAGCATGGTCCCCCAGCCTGGTTCTGGTCCAGGAGCACTGTCTCACTGCCTGCCTGCCTCAGCACACACCACACAGCGGCCTCTCGGGTCACCTAAGGTGCGGATGCAATCTGGGATGTTCTGGGCAGCAACAGTGACATCGGGTCATTAGGGATAAAGAGAACCACCACCCATTCCAAGTGACTGGACACAGAACTGCTTCTGGAACGGGTTCCACAGAGCCCAGGAATTTCAGCTGCAACTCTCACTAATAAAGTAACCGTGAAGTCCGTTACAGACCCAAAGGTGACATCTTTTATTTAATAATCTCAGCTCAAAGGTGACGTCCTGCCTGAAGCAAAACCTAAAACGGACTGTTGTTGTGTACCGTCAAGTTGAAACGGACCCACAGCTGACCCGTCAGCAGGTTTTCAGAGGCAGTGATCACACAGGAAGAGATTGCCCATCCTTCTCCTGTGGAGCAGCTGGCGGAGGAGTGATTCAAAACCAAACACACGCGTGCACACACAGCCACCAACAGACTCTTTTCCCTAGTTCTGTCCCTTTGTAGAACGGTGGGTGGAACAAGTCAGGATAAAACCAGCATGATGTATTTTACCACAGATTGCCATTTGCCACCGGGTCACTGGGCAGAATTCACACTGCAGCTGCCGTCCTGCGTACCAACGCCCGTTAAACAGGGAAAGGGCCGCTTGACAGTCTTCTTCCCTTTAAAGTGAAAATGAAAGGATGCACTTCACAGGCATGTTCTCCAATGCAGCTTAGCCCCCAGGACTCGTTAATCCTTTTATGAATGTCTTCAGGTACCCCAAGCTCACTGTTTCTATACCGCCTACGGAGTCCTCACTGAGTATCCAAGCTCTGGGGTGGGGGAGGTTCCAAATTGATTTCTGAAAACTCTTTTTACCTCTGATGTGGGGAAACTGGCTGTTAATCCCAAAGACCGGACCACTAACAATGCAGAAGTGTAACTCTCCTCTCAGTTCCTGTTCTTCCATGGCCAGGACTGCTGTCTAACACAATGGGAAGTCCAGCCCTGAGCCACTGAGCAGCCTTGTGATTCAGCAAGATGGACAAAAATGCTGCAGTGAGTGGGTCTGGGGCATTAACATGATCTGGGCCTTCAATTTCTGGCTCTTCCACTTTGTGCTATTATGTTCTCCAGCCCAGCTATCCTTTTAATTATAAAATTAGGTAAGTTATAAATATACTGTGACAGATTCAAAACCATATTCATGTATCTTACTTTCAAATTATCTTCAGACTTCTCTGTCATTTCATAATGTTTTTTATATATATTATATATATATTAAAAAAAACCCCTCATGCATATAAAAGCTATATAATCAGTGAAAAAATTCTCAGAAGTGAACATAAACAAAACACCACAGTGGGACAAAGCCTGAAGACATGCATGCTATCTATGTTCAGAATACTTACGATTGATACTGGACATACACGTTGCCCCGAAGATGAGGTTCAAAGTTGCAGCTGACCTACGGAGCAACGGGACAGTCCATCATTAACAATGGAGGCAAAGACCCCACACATCATCAAGCGCCACCTGTCCGGGGTAACACTCAAAGTAATGACCAGCTGAAGATTCCCCAACCAAGCCGTCCTGTGGGCCGTGAGGACGTGGTGCCCAGTGCTCCAGAGCCACTTCCTCCCATAAACAGGAAATGGTTTGCACATACACGAAAATAGAGAAGGTAAAGCAGCCTGCATCCGCATCATGGGAGTGAACACGAGTGTTTTCCGTTTTTGTTTGCCCTTTCTCCAGCACAGTGGTAAGCTTGGTGCTAAGGAGGGGTGTACTTTTCCCATTCTAAGTCCATGCACGCAGGCTTAAGTGCCACAGAACGATGTTTCAAGGACGGACTTAATGTATACACGTAGGTCTGCACATCGTAGTGTGTGCCACACACTGGATTCCGACACAGGGACACAGTGGAATCGCCCCACAGGACTTCTCCTAGCTGCTACTCTTTACTGAAGCAGAATGCCAGGTCTGTTCTCCCATGGAGGAGCTAGTGGCTTTCAACTGTCAACCTTTCAGTTAAACCTTGACTACTTAAGGCCATGCACCAGCAGGAACCTTTGAGGGGGGGTGTACAAGGATAGTCACATCTTTACACACAGAGATGTCGTCAAGTTGTCTGCAACACATAGTGACCCTGTGCACAATAGCACTGAACCCTGTCTATCCAGAGTCTATCTCTGACACACCTGCCCCTATAGCTCCAGTCACTGTGTCAGTCCATCTAGTCCAGGGTCTTCCTTTCCTGGGTTGTAAACAAATGTGCATATGCAATAATAAACAGTATCAATGTTTCATGGTATGCTTCAACTTCTTATAGAACTAGTATTTACATTCTTTTTTCAAGATTTGAGCATATAATGACTCATTTGAACTCATACGCACTGGACACACTATCAACATGGTATGTGGTACTTGTCAACATGGACCTAGTAGCGGATGTCCCCGGAACCTCTAACTTGTCACCAACAGTCCTACAATAAGCACTCCAGGTGTGAGTATTTCTCCTCTGTGCACAAGGCGAGGGCCCACTGTTAGGCTCCCTGTCCCTTTAACTAGCTGTTGACAAATGGCTCTTAGAAACGCTCTCACTAATTGGCACCTTCTCACCCACTCGTATTAATGGAAGCCATCGTTTCTGCCTGATAGATGTGAGAGAATGAATGTCTCCTTTTCACAGGCACTGCTCTGCTTTCTACTGAGGCTGAATGCTTGATAATTGGCCTTCCAAAACGACAAATCAGATTTGTATTTATATAATGGTATAAAAATGTCTGTAAATATTCTTACTCAAGTAAAGCTTTTCATTTCCAAATAAACTGAATGAAAACAATTTGTCGCTGAGGATTTTTATCAGCACTTCCCACAAGCAGGAGGGGTCAGACTCACATGCAAGCCCATAGGACCCTCCTTGAAGTGCCTGGAACCAGGCTGCATTGCGTCAGCTGAGCTCTGGCCCAGACAGTCACCGAGTCCTGTGGGACGCAAGGAATCCCATGGTTTCCTAGTGTCTCTATGAAATATTTTACTGCACAGTTTTTCACTTATAAGAATTACTCTGGTCTTTAACAGTACATGACTGACATACTTCTAAACAAGAAAAGACATGCAGTGGCTACTAGGACAGATGGCGTGTTGCAAGGAACGGCTGATTTTCACTAACCAGCCCAAAGTTTTGAACAGAGCTCGAGTACCACCTTTTCAAAACGGAAAAGGCGGAAGGAAAGAGAAACTTTCCAAAAGAGAAGACTTTCAAACACCCAGTCTGACGTCAGTAGCTAGACGTCCAGAGCCCCTTCCTCGGTGTAACTGCCCAGCAAGTGCTGTTAGGTGTCCCAACCAACCTGCCCCGGTCATTTTCCAAGCAGCAGGGCAAGCGGCACGGCCTTCATCTTGTATTTTTCCAAATGACATAGGAAGGAAGCCATTCATTAGGATGTGACTGAATCGTAAGTAAGGCTTTGGTTGGCCATGAGCCCTGATGGCGCATAGGTCAATCACTCAGCTGTTAAGGCCCATGGGAGAAGCATGGCACGGCTTCCGTAAACCTGGCAGCCCTGGGAACCCTGCAAGGTGGTCCTGCTCTGCTACGGGGTCGCTAGGAGTCACAACTGACCTGATGGTCAGTACGTGGTGACTTAGTCAGGAGTGGGAGCAATGGGTATTACATCTGAGTCTATCCTCGTCCTCAGGAATATTTGACGATAATGTTTGATTTGAATACTCATTGTTCATTGTACATCACGTCTGTGCTCCCTCACAAACTATGATTCTGAGGGCACGATGTCAGTACTGAAAGAACCCAGTAACTAAAAACACTGTCAAAGAGTAACAAGAGGAGGGAAATGTGCAGCAACGAATGACTGAACACCCAACCTTTCTCCTGTGGAGTGGCAGGTGGATTTGAATTGTGTGCCTCTGGTTTGACTGTGCGACTACTTACCTGTAGGCTATTACAACTCCTATGTTAAAAGTGATTATCACTTATTAAAAGTAGAATTTGATTGCCCTGCCTCTGAGGAGGGGAGTAGTGTTCACCTCCTTGTATGCAGTGTCTAAGCCTGGCCACCGGCTGCAGATGCCCGACATGAGAAGTCATGTCGGAAGGGAGCTGGACTACCATGTACTGAACAAATGAAAGAGCCTGTCCAGTTGAGACTGTTGCTGTTAGGTGCCACCGAGTTGGCCCCAACTCACAGCGATGCCAAGCACAAGTGAACCAAACCCTGGCAGCCCCTCCTTCATCCTTACGCCAGCGGGCTCACTGTGCTAAGTCCACCCCAGCAGCTACTGAGTCCATTCAGTAGATAACAGCCTAGAAAGAGGCAGCCAGAGTGCTCCTTGGAGGCAAGGATGGCAAAGCTTCGTGTCACAATCTCTGGGCATGTTGTTAGGAAGGGGCATTCCTCATCCTGCTTGGAAAGGTAGGTCAGTAAAGGAGAGGAAGACCCTCCACCAGATGGACCAGCCCGGTGACCATAAGAAGGGGCTCAGGCGTGCCGGAGATGATGAGGAATGGCACAGAAGAAGGCAAGGTCAGATCCACTGTTGCCAGGACCACCATGAGTCATACTGGACGGCACCTACACGAAAGCAACTAGGGAGCTGAGAAGGGTGGAACGAGAGAGCTGTCCATGGTGGTTACTGAGTGCCTGGGGTCACGTTCCTCCACCCAGGGGGCCGGCATGGGTGAGCCATCTCGTCCACCGTCCACCGAGCGCTTCCGCTCACACCCACGCACCTTGAACTGCACCACTCGGCCCACGTTCTTGAACTCAGGCAGCACATCGTCATAGAACTCGAGGAACTGCTGGTAGGTCTCCTCCTCGCTGTACTCCAGGCTGGCGTCAGGATCGTAGTCATCCATCCTGCACTGCTCCATCCCAAACGTTGTAAACATGCTTCTTATCAGAAGGGTGGGGCTCGATGCTGGGAAATTGTGTTTCCGTGAACACCTGCATGTGAGTGAAAAAGACACACAAGCCCCCATAAATTCAGTAAATACTAAAAAAAAAAGAAAAAAGAAACCAAAAAAAAAAAACCTGTCTGGAACTCTGCCAAAAAGAACCAAGTAATTGACTTATTTTTACATGATTGTAAGGAAAGAAACCATACTCCAATGTCAGACCTGAACACCTAAGAAAATGGTTTTAAGACGGGGGTCTCAAAATGCAAAGTTGGAAATGATTTCCGAGGTCACATGCCATCGAGCTGCCTGTTAATGACGTTCAGGAAGCCATACACAAGGTGAATAGGGAAAGACGTGTGTGTGGTGGCCTCACGGGTTGTGGTGACAGGCACAGAGGTGCCTCACAGGACTCTTAGTAGAACATAATCACGCTTAAATACAGTAAAAATCAGTTAGCCCAAGTAGCAACAGGGTCAGTAAAGAATTTCTCAGTCATGAAATATTTTTAAAAAAGATTTTTGGTTAAATTTTCTTCATTTTGTTACTGTTTCATTAATGAAGTATTTAATACTTGAGCTCATGCTCTAGTTTTCATGCTGTGTTTGCATTTTCTTCCCTCTGAGACTTGCTACCCTTTAGGATAGTCAGGGCCTGCTAATTGGTGGGGACCGGATCACTACGTAGTGTAATCAACATGATTTTGTTTCTATTGACTGAATGAGGCCAGTCATCACAGGGAACACTTCCTTGTCATAGTTTAAAGTGGGCCAAGGCTGAGGTGACCAGGCCGAACCTGTAAATCCTTTATGTGAGCTTATTTTCTCATTTACTCCCTTCTCTTAAAATAAGAACAAACAGTACCATTTACCACAAATTGAGATACTTCGAAGTAAACCTAACTAGAGACACAAAAGACCTATAAAAAAAAAACACAACAGAACCTTGCTGCGAGACACAAAAAGAGACTTCAAGAAATGGAAAAATGTGCCCTGTTCATGGACAGTTAGACTCAATATGGTGAAAATGACAATCCTACCCAAAGCAATCTACATGTTCAATGCAATCCCAATCCAGATACCAAATCAATTTTTCAAGGATATTGAAAGAGAAATTATCAGATTTATTTGGAGAGGCAAGAGACCCCAAATAAGCAAAACACTTCTGAGAGACAAAAATGAGGTTGGAGGCATAGCAGTCCCTGACCTCAAAACCTACTACACAGCAGTAGTAACCAAAACAGCATGGTACTTGTACAATGACAGGCACATAAACCAATGGAACAGAACTGAGAACCCAGAAATGGACCTAGCTAGCTATGGTCAACTGATATTCGACAAGGAAATCAAAGCTATCAAATGGGGAAATGATAACCTCTTAAACAAATCGTGCTGGCAAAACTGGACTCCTACTTGCAGAAAGCTGAAACAGGCGTCACATCTCGCACCATACACAAAAATCAACTCAAGGTGGATCAGAGACCTGGGAGTAAAGCCAAAACCCAAGAAGTTCATCAGAGATAAACCGGGATCACGCTTAGAAGGCCTACTCTACGGTATAAAGAGACTGCAAAATACAGCCAGAAATGCACAACCTGAAGAGGATAAAATTGATGAATGGAACCTTCTAAAGAATAAATCTCTGTGAGCATAAAAACCTTTTTCCAACAGAGTGAAAAGAAAACCTACTGACTGGGAAAAGAAACCCATTTGACAATACCATTTGAAACAAGGGTCTCATATCAAATGTTTACAGAATCCTATAGGGCTTCACAGGAAAAAGACTAATATAATAACACAATTACAAAATGGCCAAAATACATGGAAAGAATTTTCACAGAGGAAGATATTTGGATGGCCAACAGACACATGAAGAAATGTTCCAAATCACTGGCAATAAGAGATGCAAATCAAAACCAACATGAGATACCATCTCACTCAAGTAGTAGTGGCAAAGTTTAACAGGACAGCAAGTAATAAATGTTGGAGAGGATGTGGCAAGACAGAAATGTTTACGCACTATTGGTAGGATAGTAAAATGGTACAACCACTCTGGAAAGCAGTTTGGCATTCCCTCAGAAAGGTGAACATAGAAATTTCATATGACACTGCTATTCCACTGCTTGGAATATACCCTGAGAAAAAGAAAACTGAGGCACAAACAGAGACTTGTACACCAATGTTCATAACAGCAATGTTCACCATCACAGGAACATGGAAACAGCCCAAATGTCCAACCACGACTGAATGGATTGAGAAATTATGTCACATTCACATGATGGCAGGAGCAATGATTTTGTAAATCACTACCTAACTTGGGAGGGACTGGAGAGCATTATGCTAACTGAACTCAGCCCTAGAAGGACAAATTACTGTAAAACGTGTATGAGAATATTGAGGACATGTATAAGGATGAGAAGATGAGAATACTACAGACCGTGTATTAGGATCCAAGGCGGGGGAGAGAACAGACGGGTGAGGATAGGGGAGGGGAGTCGTTAATCATAGGGTAGCACATTTTGATGGGTGGAGGGAGGGGTGGGTAAAGGAAATGGGAAAGATCTGATGTGAAAAACATATACAAATTTTGTAAGTTAACCATTCTAAAACAAAAATTAAAAATATAATAAGAGCGACAGTAACCACAACCAACAAATAGAAGTGTGGTTACGTAGGTGGATAGGTATCCAGAACAGTCCAAACCCCAAACTCAACTACTGTCAAGTCGATTCTGCCTCCTGACGACCCTCCTTTGGGAAATCTTAATGGGAGCTGACTGTGTCATCTTTCTTCTGTGGAGTAACTGGTGGATACGAACTCTCAATACTCCAGCTAGCAGTCCAACGTGTCACACACGACGCCAGCTGGGCTCCTTGTGTGTATGTCCAGGTATATACATGTGTGCGTGTGTGTACACCAGCATATAGATCTATAAATACAATAGAGCACAGTGGGGCGTGGTTATAGATACTTCTTAGACATGCTCAAACACCTCATGGAAGTGGTTTACTCAAGTCAGAGTCTTAGGACTAAAGTCTCAAGGGTCAACTCTGTCAAATGGCAGGAAAAGCTCATAAAGTCTATGTTCTCATCCTAAGCAGTTTATCTAAACTGTTTAAATGGAAACAAGTTGCTGTATAAAACTTTCACTGAGAACACAAGGGAATATTTAAAACATACTAATTAAAAAGGAAATAAAATTAGTTCAAGGTTCATATTAGTCAAATTTCCTTGATAGAATTCTTGATGAAAAAATGCTAACAAAATTTTCAGACTTTTGGAAGAAACAAGATTGTTTCTTTGGGACTTGGAAGAAAGATGGTTTGAGAAACGTTCAATATTCATTAATGGTAGATATTCTCTTTTCCTAATGTCCTCCTAGATTATTCAACTAGAGAAACTATTTGTTAGAAGATGTCTCTTCCCATATGTAATTACCCATAGAAGAATGAACGAGGAGTCACCCTGGCAGGGTTGCAGTGAATAATTTTACAAGTATAAAGCACACAACGAATTAAACAAGGAACCACTTAATGAAGTTCAAACACTGCTGCAAGGACTGTTAGGTTGGGATAAACTTGGCCCTATTTCCCAGGGTGTCAAATGTACACTTGTCAGTTTTGGAACACATCCCTAGGCCCTGTCTAGGGAACATCCCCAGAGTCCATATGGTCTAAAAGCATTCAAAAGGCCAGCCCTACAGTTCCTAGTGAAAGGTGGGCTGGGGAGTTTTCCTTGGAAAGGTAGTTTAAGACAGTGGTACCAAAACAGTATGGCTATCAGAATGACCTGAGAAGAAGTGACACTTCTCTGGTCATCTCACACTTACTGAGTTCTGCTCTATCTGAAGTACTAAGGTGCCTGGAAGCCCATATTTTCACAAAGTGACTCCTCTCGGGTCCTGAAATCAGCCATGTTTGAGAATCACAGGCTTAGGACATGCTAGTTCTCCATGAAGTGTATACCTAAATCAGGCCAGCCAGCCAGAAAAAGAAGTGGACATGCTCGAGCCCGCAGATGGTCAATCAGTGTTGTGAACAACATCCAAACACCCCTCAAGGACTGCTGTCAACTCGGTGGTGGTTCTTCTCCAGATAACCCCTGCCTAATGACTGGAGACAATATTCAAGATGAAGCCTTGCTTGGTAGCCGTAGTTTTGTCCCTGATAACATCAACAAGTTCTATGCAAAAGTTAGGCTGGAACAGTTTTGAGGGAGACTTCGGAAAGTAGCGAATAACTAGCAATAACTGTTCTAAATCAAGTATTGCATCTATTTTTTTTGTGTCTAGAACCTGTTAGCATTTATTAATTTAGCTAATATTTGTTTTTTAGTTATTGTAGCAATTTATTTCTTAAATAGATACATTTAATTGAATAACTTCTAAGCTTGCAATCATTGCATTCTTTACACATGAAAATTGACTCAGTGAAGGATTTTTCATAAAAAGTTAAAGGCTACAAGAAGAAGTTAGGCTTGAATAATTCATTGACGGTCTCTAAGAAAGTCTCGCAAAAACTATATATACAAACATCACAATAAAGAGATCATAACCGTCATCCAAGCAGATATATGCACACCCATGTTTACCTCAGCTTTGTTCACAAACAGCAAGGAGTTGGAAGCAACCTAAGTGCCCATCAACAAACGAATGGATAGAGAAGCTGTGGTATATTCACACAATGGAATACTACGCTGCATTGAAAAACAAGGAACTCACACA